CACTCTGGAGAGCAAGGCCCAGGGCAGAGACACTGCTGAAACTACCACCAGCAGCAAGGTTTCCAGCTCCCCATCAGCACAGAGGCAGGCTCAGATTGGCAAACAGATGATAACAATTTTCAGGAGCTGACAAGGCCTGGATTCAAACGGGAGGCCAAGAGACGAAAAGGACTCACAAGCTCACACGTTCTCTATCTGGAAGCTATTTGTCAAGTCCTGGAGAGACAGACAAAGGCAAAGCCCAGCTGTAGTAAGGATATGGAAATCTCATCCTGGAGCCACTAGCAGCCCAAAGGCCAGACCATACACTGGCCCTTGGTCATGTGTGTTGAGTGCTGCCCTCCAGCCTCTGCACAACCAGTACTGGCCCAAGAAAGCTTCCAGTGCCAATCACCCTACCAGGCCCAGTCAAACCAAAGTACCAGTATTCAAACGTTCAGCAGAAGGACTCTTGGGCTTAGTATTACCAAGATAAGCCCACATCAGAGCTCACACTGTATCCTGAACACTTGCAGCATCAACCCAAGATGAAGTTCCACTTACCCGTTGCACACTGAAACTATCCACCCACCAAAGGGGTGCAGTGTCTGCAGTGAGAAGTCCAAATGTTAGCACAGGATGCCTTTTTCTTTTCCATGCTGGCTTTTTTCATCCTAGCATCTCAAAGCACTTTAAATAATGCATTAAGCCTCCATAAGACAATAGTATTGATATTATCTAATCACACATGCAGGCAAATCATAGCAGGAAGGTTTCACAACTTGCTCAGAACCACCTAGTAACTTTTTAGTGTAACTGGAAATACACCCATGTAGCCAAAGTCTCTTGCACTTTAAAACAATGCTTTCCTTACTAACCACCTACCCACACATAAATGAAGACAATTTGGATTGCTCATTGGGCCAACCCAAAGCTGCTCTCCTCCAAGAGAGATGTCTTATGATCTCTCTCCCTGAAATGCTACACTCACGCTTCTCAAGCTGCTGAAATATTTCAAAGGAGCTCCAGGCAATCCCACTAAACAGCACATGAGGATGGACCCTTTACTTCCTATTTACACAATGTGCCAAGACGAGTTAGTCTCATCCCCTGGGAATAAGCTCAGCAACTCCACCAAGTCTTTATGACACCCTAGACTCCCTTACACCTCAGCTGACCCTTGCGTCCTTCTGTGCCTTCACCTCAAGCCATCAAAGGATGTCCCTGCTCTCCTTGACCTCATGCTCTCAGCATTGCCCAAAAAGCCAAAGGTCTGCAGAAGGTAACAGGGTGGAAGCAACTACAGGCTTTCTAGGCCATACATTGCCTTCATTTATCAGCAAGCGGCTGGCAGCAGGGCCTGCATGTAATGATGTTGCTGTCCAAGGACCATGACCAACAGATGGCTGGAGAGGGCATTCATTGCAGCAGGACAGGTGTCTGAACAAGCCAGGGTATTTCTGCCCAATTAGGGGAAAGAAAGAAGTCTTCTGAGCTAATTTTCTAGTCCTTTGGAGGAGTGAAGAAAAGCACACATTGAATTGCCCTCTCTCAGCCTCAATAGGGAAGATGCTGGGTGGCCAGCTCACCAGCCAGCCAGGGTGGGAAATACCCCACTGACTGTCCAAGCTCACTGCTGGGGCACAGAAGGACAGAATCACAATGCCCTGTGAAGCTGGAAAGGCATGGCCTGGCACCTCACCAGGAAAGGACTTTTTAAGCCTGCTCCTATGCAGCCTTCTCTGCTGAGGGAGGCTGAACTGAAATGCACAGATGACAGAGATTTCCATTTATCCACAGGCCATGAAGGCAGAAGCACAGCAATTCCCTAACACCTTAAAAATGCTCAGATTGCCCCCACCCACTTGGTCTCTCCCACACTTCCTAGAATCATAGAAGAGTTTGGGTTGTAACGGACCTTGAAGATCATCCTGTTCCAACTCCCTGCCATGGGCCGGGACACCTTCCACTAGACCAGGCTGCTCCAAGCCCTGTCCAGCCTCGCCTTGAACACTGCCAGGAATGGGACAGCCACAGCTTCTCTGAACAACATGTGCCAGCTTCTCAACACCTTCATATGGAAGATTTTTTGCCTAATATCTAATCTAAATCTACCCTCTGTTAGTTCCCCCTTTTCCTACAAGGTCTCCCCAGAGCCTTCTCTTCTCCAGGCTGAACAAGCCCAGCTCTCTCAGCTGGTCTCCATAAGAGGTGCTCTAGCCCTCTGAACATCTTCATGGCCGTTCTCTGGACACAATCCAAGAGGTTCATGTCCCTCTTGTGTTGTTGCCCCAGAGCTGGATGCAGGACTGCAAGTGGGGTCTCATGAGAGCAGAGTAGAGGGGGAGAATCACCTCCCTCAACCTGCTGGTCACGCTCTTTTTGATGCGGCCCAGCATACGGTTGGCTTTCTGGGCTGCAAGTGCACACTGCTGGCTCATGTTGAGCTTCTCAACAATGAACATCCCCAAGACATTCCACAGATCTGCTCTCTGGACTCATTTTCCATCACCATCCAACATAAACAGGATCAAAGGACTCAACATCTCTTCTTCAACCCTTGAGTAATCCATACTCCATCATGCACCCAAAAGTGCCGCTCTGTTTCAGAACATATTTGCTTCTGGTACAAATTAATCTTGCCTGATACTCTTTGTCATCTGTCAGCTCCACAAAGCTGCAGGAACAGAAAGTAAGACTGAGGGACAAGAGTGAAAACCACATCTGCTGCTCAAAAAAGTTTCCATTTCATCAAGCTTTTCAGGTGTATTCTCATGGGCAAGCACATGACAGCAAGGATAAGAACAGCAAAGAACAGCTTGATGTTCAGAGCCCAGATGAAGCCTTACAGTACCCAGTTTAATATTACCATTCTTCATTGACATTGTTTACCTGACTGAAAAACACATGATGCCAAGTGCTGCCCAGGTGGTTAATATGAGTTATTTTTGTTGGAGAAGGAAAACAGATCAAGAAACACCTTGGTCCTGTTTTACAGGTGGGGAATGGAAGTACAGAATAAGACTTGCCCAAGGATTTGTAGCAGAACTCAAAACAAAACCCAGATTTCAGATCATTCTCATAAGAAATAAGCTTGCTGAGTTTAGCTAAGCTGATGGGAATCCAAATGTCAGAAGATGGAATCTACAGCACTATTGCCAATCCTTTTGCCATTTTTGTAGCAGAAACAAGTACAGGTAGCAAGTAAGAAGTCATCATCAAGCTTCAAGGTGTTACTGGTTGACAATTACCACTTAGAACTATAAAAATAACACAAATGACCAAACACTGTTCCAATATTCAGGCTACATCTTGCTTTGCATATATCGTGTCCCCCGTCCCTCACCAAAGTACACGTGTAAATTAAAGCCACTAGCTGAATATCCTTTCTTTATAATAGGGATTCCACAACCTACAAGTGTAAAAGTGTTACTTTAAAAACCACACACCTCCATATTTCAGTATCTTTTGCAGAGCTCTTTGCTACAATCGATGGAGAAGTGTGGAGAGCAGACAGACCAGGAAGCGAATTGTTCTCACAAGGTTGCCCAGAGAAACCACAACAGTTTGTAAAACTTACTTAATTATACCCTAACCTTCACACTCCCAAACACACTGCTGAGAAGAACTTAAGGCAGAGTAGGTAGATGCTATGCCTGGGATCCAAACAAGAACAAGCGTTCCTAAATGTTCCTAAAGGAACATTTCTACATTTACTCACATGCACTCCAAAAAACAGGCAGCTGGGCACAGGCTCAGCAGCTTTCCTCTCCTCGCATTAGGATGTGAGGCTAATTAAAGTCTGTCAGTATCAGTAGAAGATTTGGGTGATGTGAAATGCAAGACTGGGCCTTTTGAATGTTCTGTGAGCAGAAACTTGGCTAGAAGAGCAAAAAGGGAGTGATGAAAACTGTACTGAAACCACAAGTCTCTGCATTATGTATTCATGGGATGTATGCTGCCAGCAGGACTGAGAACAAGCAGCAGTGTAATGGGGAAATGGAGGGGTCTCGCTTTTCTGCATCTTGCAAAATAAATACATAGTCATTTCTTTCAATGGGTTCATCTCGTAGGCTTAAAGGTGGTGCTGTTAGTGAGGTTAAAACTTGTACAACCAACCAACCAGAGGCTGTAAAATTCTTCCCTAGCAAGAGGAAGTTCAGAATTGAAATTAACTGTCTTTAACTTACTGCAGTTTACCAGGGTCAGCAGATGTCTGCAGATACTCTTTCAAACAGTAGCTCTGCACCAGTGCAACAAAAACAAGTAATGAAGAGAGACCCAAAGAGAGGCACCAGGTGGGCACTACGCAGGGCAGCCCAGCCCACCAGTCCCAGGCACACTCCACTTCCCAGCCACTGCAGAGATGAGGCAACCTCCTGGTATTTACACACCTTAACCCCAGACCCCTACACAAGTCCTGCAAAATCAAGAGTAACTGCATCTAGAGCAAACTGTAAACCCCTTTTGTGAAGCATTAAAAAGGTGAAAAGTACTGGGTTACATTGCTGTGAAACTCCTAGGAGGTATAGAAAGACCTGTCCCCAAGGAGATCAACAAGTGTGAAAATACTATCATCATCAAGTCTACAGTCACTTTGATCACAAAGATGTTTCCTTACACACCCCTAAGCAATTAATTTACTTTGGAGTATGGGTCAGATCATGGCAACAGGGTAACTTGACACAAGCGAACTCCAGTGATTTGTTCTTGTGTCATGTGATGAACCAGACAGTATTAGGAAGGGTGCTGCCTTCCTAATGGGGGTAAGCAAGAGAACAGCCCAACTGTAGTAAGAGCCACTCAAGTAGCAGCAGCTACCAGAGAGGTATCTACACTTAATGCCTAGCTTATCCTAGACAGACCGCAGAAGTAGGCTTAAAGGGGGTATTCACAAGAAGATGTATTCACAAGCAGCAACCCTATGAATTTACTGAACCCTGCCCCAATAACCCTTCTAACGTCTTTCCTTACACCACCTTCTCCCAAGTGATGCTGCCTTTCTCATATGAAGTTCTTACCTGTTGCATTTTTTCCAGGTCAAGGCTGGGCCTGCTGACCTTATTCCCATACCCTTGTCGATGTCTCTTACAAGGCATGACTTGCTCAAGGCCAGCCCCAACGCTTGTGAAGATTAAAGGTCTGGAGGCCGTGCTCCGCACCAGGGGCTGGAGTCTCTTGGGAGGGGAGGCACTGAAGAGCACGGGGCTGGGGCTGGCGTGCAGGCCATCGGCGGGCTCCGCCACAGGCCGGAAGGACATGGCACACAGGTTCTTCACTTCGTCGTCACTGGAGGAGGTGTTGTTGCTGTCGCTGCAGCAGGCAAGCCTGCTCACCTGCGACCACTTCTGCTTCTCAGCCGCAAACTCCCGGTGGATGCGCTCAAGCTCCTCTTCCGAGCTGTGGCGGTCAAGGCTGGCGTGGAGGAGGGCTCGAACCTTGCAGCACTGGTTCTCCTGGTTCTGAAGCTGGTTGGTGGCCAGAGGGGTCAAGGTACAATTCCGTCTTCTCTCTGGTGGGAGGAGGAGAGAGACTAGTGGCAGAGCAGATCTGTGTCCCATGCCCTGAGCCTGTCTTCCCCTGATCTGTGTTTTTATCTCCTCCCAACTAAACTTCTGAGCTGTTTTCCCACCTTTTTGTCCCCAGAAGAAACACCCACCCTGGCTGAATGCTTCCCTTTGGAAGTTTCCAGAGTTTTGCTTTGACCAGACTGCTAGACATCCCCTTAAACTGTCACTTGGAAGTCTAGCTGCAGAGCAAGAATATGGACCTGCTGCCCATCTCATCCCCTGAATGTGGAGAAGACATGATCTTACAATGGTAGTGTTACGTACTTGCTTCTCACTAAAAACATTAAGTTCTAGCGACCAGTTCTCAGGCCAGAGGAGGCAAGCAGCACATCTGTGTCTCAAAAAATAGAGATCCGGCTTCAGCCATAAGGTGGGCACACTTTACCTGTTCTGCTGAGCTCTTTCTATGTTATGCACATGGGGCAGGGATTTGAATTTTGCTAGGACATGTCCTGTGGGTCAGAAATTTAACTTCTGCCTTTGCATAAGAATCCACTTGAATTTGGCTAAACAACGATAAAACACAGAGTGTACACAAATGGCAGAGACTTAGCATAGCTCAATAGATGCTCTAAGCTGCTTCAAATCATATTCAAAAACAGCAGCAGAGCACCTGTCTATCCTCTGTGAATAGGGCAGCCCAATACTAACAGTACAGGAGGAAGGGAGGAAGCTAAATATAAAATGAGCCCAGGAGAATGAGGGAAGTGAAGGTCAGAACTCGAAATGGCAAGGAAGAGGTAAGCTAGAAGAAAGATGATACAGGTGCACAAGAATGGAATAGAAGATAAGTTTTCAGTCCCAGCTCTGCTGCTGGCTCAGTTGTAAACCTTTTCTGCCCCATCTCTGCAGCACTGATGCCTTAACACACCTGCCTCTGGTAAAAAAAGTGTGACTGCAGTTTCTGGTAACACCAGCTTCTACCTGTGAGCTCCCAAAGACTACAGGGTGGCTGATTCAATGTATTTGGTTGTGGTATATTGGGAACAGAGAAGGAGGCACTTCCAAGAACATATCGCAAGCACATCCCTTTACCTCTGTCAATCTGAGCAAGTTCCTGGTTCTCTCCCTCAGAGTCATCGCTGTCCTCATCACTTTGGGGGTAGGAGATCTAGGTGGCAAAGAGAAATAAAAGGCTTCATCACAAACACTGGATATTGCCCTGCTGCTGCCCAAGCCACTTCTCCCAACCTCCCACTGTCATATCCTGCAGGCATCACCCCACTTAAACCACACACACCCAGCCATACCACCTCCCTGTTTACATGTCCTCATCTCCAGCCTCAGACTCCCATCACATCCTCTTATTTGCAGCAACACAAAACACACAGCCCACCACTATTTCCACCTTACTGCACCGCCAGCTCTTTCCCAAGCACAACGAACATACCCTGCCCTTAGCTTGCCAGGCATGCAGCTTGTAACCATCATGGCCTACCACATCCACATCACGTGGACAACTGAATCTCCAAAACCCACCACCGAAATAAAGACACATCCTGTCAACAGCACTATCATCTTGCAAGGCACCCACAAATGGAAGTGGTATGTTAACTTCAGCCATCCTATGTATGTACCCACCCTTCCCCCTAACAGCGCACACTGTTGTCCCTGCCAGCACAGAATCTTACAGTCCCACTGAACACCCTTAAATGCTCTAAAAGTAATGATAATTCACATAGTCTGTCTATCAGGAATTTTCAGGGACATTTGCTCTGTGTCAGCCAATGGGCTTCATCAAACCACTTACTGTATACTGAAATACCCAATTAAAACATGTTCTAACACTGAACAAACTTGGTAGTTGCCTCTTAAGAAGGGTTGGGATATCTGAAACCAAGCTTTTGTAGGTCAGATAGATTCCATTGCTGCTGTTTCCTGCGTAGAGGAAACTCTACCTTAGTATGTGTCTCTGGCAGTGGCCAAAAGCAAGTAAGTCAAAGGAAAAGGCAATACTTCAAAAGAAACTTTTATAGAGACAGTTCTGGAATAACACAATCACTACAAGAGCAGCTTTATCATTCCTTACACCTTTTTATTCAGAATTACAAGTATTCCCATTGTTCTTAGCAGAGTCTCACAAGCTACTTGCCCACAACAGAATCCAGTAGCAACAGGTTTCAAAAGGTTACATGCTGTGTTTCCTTTTTAAAAGGGTCTGATGTGCTGGTGCTTGACTTTTATAGAAGATGAGGCAGCATGCAGCCATCACACTGATAGCGACCCATTTTGTCTCCACCACTGTTCTAGGGAAACACGCTTGGAGTGTTTCAGCCTCTCAGAGACCCAAAAAAGCAACTATGCTTAACTAGGTGCCTACAAAAGATACATACAGCTGATGCACAGAAACAAGAATAGTGGAGAAATTCTGACTGACACAGGTAATAAGTCAACACACCTATTTTGTGACCGTCTTCCATGATTGTGTTTGGGGATTTTGTTCCCCCAAAAGCCTGTTGCCACCTTTTTTCCTCCTTCTTTTTTAAAGCTCCCTTTTGCCCTTCTGTATTTACACTGCCTTTTAAGAACTCAGAAAACACTCTCCTTTCTTGCTAGTCTTTAAACTACCTTTCTGACTGTCAAATGATGAATGGTGAAAGTGGCACAGCTTTACTCTCACTACTGATATTCCTGAAGTAAACACAGGGGGTTGTTTTTCCCCCTGCAACCACAATTTTCTTGCATGCATTCACACACACGTGTCATTTAAGAATGGCAGCTGGCACTGAGGAACACTGCCAAATTAACAGACTTCTGCTTGTCCCCAGAACAGGTATAATACCTTGTTTGTGCCATGGCAGTTCACAGAAGGGACAGCTGACACTGAGGTGCCATTGTGCTAGCTGCTGTACAGACAGACAGCGGGGTCCTGTCTTCCTTACAAAAGCTATGGCTCCAATTCTAACTCGAGAGGTACCAGCCTTAGTCTGTGGCTCATTCCCACATAAAACCCTTTCATTTGGATGTCGCAGGGTTTTCAGTGAAGTTTAACAGCTCTGCCTGGGAAACCTATCAGCCATTTTTTGTACCATGTAAATGTCAATACATGGCATGGCCCTGCTTCAAAAAGGAGGCAATGACATCTAGCACATGCAGGTCAGAGAGCTACTGCACAATGTCGCTGGCTTGAGATGCTTATGATAGGAGTTGGATTTGAGTCAATGATTGACATTTTGAAGGTCTTTGTGTCTACTGGTCCTGGGCTTCCATAATGTTTACTCCTCCCTGTAGAAATGCAATTTTGCTGGCCCCTAGTCTTATAGGGATAACTCTCCTCTGCTAAGTCCTCACCAGTCCCACAGGCAGCCTAACACTAATCCCCTGTGAGTTACCTCGATCGCTACCGTAGAGGCTTTGTTCAGAGCACCTGCGAGAGAAGAGAAATCTCTTTCAAACAGGAAGATACAGGGTCTGTGGATTTGGCCCCATAGTATATCCCAAAGAAATGTAAATGGTAGGACAATATGAAAGGCTTCACGGAGAAGAGGGGATCCTACAGTCTTGCATCCTGACACTAGTCATGGAAGCGTAAGCACCTGCTCTTTAACCAACTACAGTTTTTACAAGCAACATTTCAGAATGAAGGCAATTAGAGACCCCTATGGAGCCACTCTTCCTGACACCCAGCTTACAGAAGAACATTCAAGTAGCCCATTTCTCTACACCTGAGTCAGACTTGGGTTTTCCCATTATTCCCACTGGTGTCATTATACCCTTGTTCTAGACAGCACCTTGAAAAATTAGAATATTTTTCATGATATACATCACAGGCTAACCATAAAAAAGCATTAAAATCCAGCAATTGTGCACTTTGGGCATGAATGAAGTAAACAAATGCTAAGTCTCAGAAGTCACATGGCCTCTTATGTCCCATGACCTGCACTGGCTTTCAGATGGCCTCTCCTCTCTGCTTTTGTGTGCATTACATGCAGATACCCTCCTGCTTCATCTTCACATCTTCCAATCGGAGATATCATAATTTTCCTCCCATTTGTCATATAGCAAGGTCTTCTATTTTAGTATTGTTACATTCTCTTTCTATTAGTAAATCCTTCCACAAATTATATGCTGGCTGTGGGAACTGAAGTCTCCCAAGCTCCTGTGTATGAGACCCTGGCTCCCACGTTCCCTATCAGAGAACCATCACTTGTGGCAGACTAATCATGAATCTTGCAGAGTTGAAATTTTACACATGAAACTCCTTGCCATAATACATCACACAGAAGAAGATTAATGGAAGATTAAAAAAGATTGTCTCTCTGTATGGATAACAAGAATTTCTAGAAACGATAAAGATATATGGAATTGAAGACTAACGCTCCGACTACTGGAAATAAACGCTCTCTCCCTTGACTCTTCCAAGACTTTATCAGTAACACCTTCCTCTCTTCAAAAGCATCCCACTAAACACAGCAGTACTGTGTTCAGGCCTCCAGCCTCCCTTGCACAGTCCTTGTCTTGTATTAGCCACAGATTACATTCATCTGAGGAAGCACAGCCTTGTTTTTCTCACAAACTCAGAACTGTGGCACTGCTACAGCAGAAAACTTGATGTCCGTGTCAAAGATCCCACTAAATCATGGCTTCGTTCACACCATAAATACCACAGAACTGTTTAGATTAAAAGACATCTCTTGTTATCATCTTGTCAAAGCTGAGTCAACCAGAACAGGTTGCTGAGGACTGTACCCAGTACTCTCTGTACCTTAACACGCAAACTTGAAGAGAAGAAAATCTCCAATTCACAGAGATACGTGAATGTTTACAAGCCATGACAAAAAACAAGCCAGAAAAAGGACAGGTGCCCATCCATCCTCCAGTCTTTCTTCAGGAAATGCATCAGATCTGAAGGTCAAAGACAGCAGCCTCCTGTTGATGGGGTTCTCAGTCTTACACCTGGGTCCTTCAGCTCCAGCACCAGCCATGCCTTCTGCCAGGCTAAGGACTACCATGCCAATGGAAACATGGACACACTTCCCCACAGATTTGATTTTGCATCAATCTCCAGCAAGTAAAGATGGGTTTGGGTAGACTAGTCAGATGGCACTTAAGGGGAACAGAGTGTAAAGCTTATAACTTTGATGGAGATTTAACATAAAAGAAATTAGCAGATACAAGGAAAAATTAGAGACAGAGAAACATCTCTCTTTTTCTCATCACACCTCTGTTTATCAACTAAGTAATGACAACTAGCTGCAGCCAGAATTGTCCCATCACCCTTGAAGTCTAAAGTCCCAAAATACACCAGACAATAACCCCCACCCACCATGCTAAAGTGGAGTTCCTCTTGGCTTTGCTTACAGAAAAGAAATTAACCTGCTATCATAGGATCAAAAGTAACTACATTGACTCACTTGGGAGCTTACAAAAGAGAAGGGAATCTCACTTATATGGCAGAACAAATTTCTCCCTACCACAGACTTCACTTAATGTCTGTATTGTCCTAAAATCAAAAACACCAACAATGTGGTTTGGTGCAGTGGAGGGCATTTGCCTGAGGAGCAGGTAAGACAAAGATACAACTGACCACAGGCAACCCCTCATTCCCAGCTTGAATCAAGAACGCACACGGGCTGGAGGGCATGTTCCCAATCTCCCTCTGGGAGGGAAGGAGTTTACCTCCAGCGAGGCGGCTTTCCCAGCAGAGGTGAATACTGCCTGTGCTGCCACATACAAGGCTGTTTGTGACACAGGCTCATTCACTTGGAGTCTCTGCATGTAAGTAAAGCCTCTTCCAAGAGTCCTGCAAAGAGACTTCACAGAGTTGGTCTCACTCACTGGTTCTTGGCACAAAAGCAGAAAGGGATGATGAGCTTACCAAGGACTACTGGTATCTCTTCTATGGGGAACCAGTTTCCACTTCTTCATATTGGAGAAATGAAACCAGTGCTCACTTACATTGTCCCTACCACACAATTCCTACAGAACAGCTGCTAGAGACATGGGCATCCTAAAGCAGAGGGTTCTTCTCCTGGCTCTTCTCCATCCCAACTGGTTGGCTTTCGTAAAAACATTTTACTAGATTTCCCCAGTGTTATTTTTCCAGGTCAACAATCACTACAGTTGCTATGGGACACCGCCTCATTTTGAAGGAGGGAGGTGCCAGCCTCC